ATGTGTTAATCTGGTCGCAAGCAAAAAAAAAGGTGCTATTCCGGTCACAAAATTTATATGTTAATCTGGTCGCAACAAAATGGTGTTATTCACACGAGAGGATGATGGGGAGGGGGAAAGGGGAGGGACCACACGAGAGGACATGGGGCTATTACTTATACCAAAATAACGAATCAACTTTGAGACCAGAATAGCACCCTTTTCTTTTTCTGCGACCAGATTAACACATGAATTTTGTGACCAGAATAGCACCTTTTTATTTTTGCAACCAGAATAACATATAAATTATTTGAGACCAGAATAGCATTATTTTATTTTTTTGAGACCAGATTAACACATTATTTAAAAACGACTGAAATAACACTTTTTGAAAAAAAAAAACAACTGAAATAACACAATGTATTAATTCAGGCCTAATTAGAAAGTTTATATGCTATTTCGGGTATCAATGTTGAAAATGATGCTATTCCAGGTATTTACCATTCCTAAAATAAGGACGAACCACCTAACGTCTTGAAATACCTCCACGCTTCACTATATTCATCTTCGTACCCCGCGACATCCGTAAATCTGTCGCCTTCACACTGTCATTATCAGTTTCCTATATATCGCCTATCGACAAAACCCCCTTAAACTGCACTCCTCCTCTTCCTCCAAGTAATCAGCCTCGTACACGTAACATAATATAACATAACATAACATTCATTGAACCTAACCCACATCCGCTAATACCCAATCTAAGCTTAATTTTGGGGGTTTCAGTGCTCAATAAAGTTAAAATCGGCATTTGTCAGGTTGTGTAATGTTTGTGACTTTTTTCATTACCGTTATTGCTATATGTTTTGGATTTTATCCCCAAATACTCGCTTTACACAAGTGATGTTATTTCAGGAGCGCATGTATTCTTTCAGTCGATAATGAGGACAAGAACGGGAAATACGTCATAGGCGATGGATGAGAGAAAAAGCCCTAGGCGTTGTCATGTGTGGCGCATATTACTTGCATGTTGATTTTGATTGAAGTGTGTATGTTTGTATACATTTCATAGTGAAATGGGCTGGGGAGACATGTATTTACGGAAGACCATGATTATCAAGCGACTCTTTTCCTTATTCCGGTTTGTTAGGTTCGAAATGTAAATGGAAGATAATCGTTGCCGAGAACTAGCTACAGTACTATTGTAGATTTCTTTATTCGTCAACCTCTAGAGTACTAGAGATTGGCTAAAAGACGTGATGATGTATTTTTTAATGCGTAGCTTGCTTTTACTTGTGTGGTATTCTTCAATAATTGTCATATATTAAAGAATGTTTTATACGTAATAGAATCTACTACTCGAGTACAATATGCTAAACGTATGAGTGACAATTCGGAAGAGTAATTGGAGGACGCAGCTGGGTGGGAGAGTGAATATGGCGACTATCATAGCTTCATTCATCTTGGGGAATTTGCTTATTTCTTGTTTTCGTTTTATATACCTTGCAAAGATATGTTTGGGGTCTCTTCAAGACAGTAGTACTCACTTGATTCATATTTTCGTTTTTAGGTTCCCCCGTCGCTGATCTCTGGATATCTTAGACTACCAATATATTCACTGCTGCGCATTGATCAAAAGACGACACCGGCCTAGATGCTTACCCCTATCGCAACCGACATGGCGAATCGGATACCATTTTCGGAATAGCGCTTGCTCGATACGTGCTGTAAGTACAATATAAAATCATTACATCATTACCTCAAACTCTACATCGCGGTAAGCTTCCTGAAATTTGTAAACATATCAACACAAGAAATCAACCAACTTACCATTCACCAAAAACACGTTTTGAGTCCCTGCCTGCCTTTGTAGACTGACAGGTTCTATTCTAGTTCTGGCATCTCGTCACTTTACCACGCGTGCAAATTACCGCTATAGTCTTTTGTGGAAAACCAAGTAAGCTATGGTTATTCATGCTGCCGAAAGAGGGGAATAAAACTTTGATGACATTCCACCTAACGTAAATCAATACACTGATATTGACACTATTCTGTTGTTATGACATGGTTAAAAGCTATCAGCGTATTCTCAATATATAAGAGTGGACAAGGATTGTCCAGGATATCGAGATCAGTTAAATCTTTCCTTCCGAGATGCGAAGAATATGATATTGCAAGTTCAATCTCCACCTCATCATCAACCATTGCAACTAGGAAGTCTGATCGCCATCGGACGACCAATTTTTCATTGTTCATTGTAAGACTGCCCATCAAAGTGCGAGACTCTATTGGAATACAATGCTGGTGGTCCTTCCAAACCGAGCCTACTACGGATATAGCTTTATTTTAACACATTATACGATGGTAGGATTGAAGTGCGCCGTTAGTCAAGTGGCTCCAATATCAACGCCATTTTCGAGGTCTTTCGTGCATAACAGAACGTTGAAAAGCAATTTCTTCAGTGAGATCGACTGAGTGATAAAATGCGCGAAAGCTGCCAAGCCCATAGTAATTGCCCTCGCCTCAACGTAACTTATAAAACCAGCGAACGGAAGATGCGACTGTTCTACGGTAATTGAGACTGCTATTCACGGAGAAAGTTATTTATAATAAATACATCGAGAGTTGAATGGGAAGTACTCTTCCTAGATACCGGAATGGAACGATGATGAGTAGCAGACCTTCCGTCAGGCTAGTTTTTACTGTCTGGGACAAGAAGTTATTTGATGCGAGCTATTTTCAATGAACAGTATCATGAATATTACGATGTCTGGAATTCGCGAATGTTAGAATAACAATCGATAGGTAAGTAGCATCTGAACATCTAGCTCCGAAAATGAAAGCGCTCAGAATGTTAATCACCGCAATGACAACAGACTTTTGCGCCAGCATTTCGAGCTATTTTCGCCAGGCCACACTAGTGGAACGTCAGACTTTGTTCCCCTCAAATGAGTGGTATACCAATATTTTTGATGATGTGGCCGTTATAGATCGCAGGTGGAAGAAGTGGTGTACCCGAGTGTATACATGGGTTTTCAACCGATTGGATATTATCAACAATCAGTTAGGCGTTCTTTCCGCGCAAACACTGGTAGAGCGGACTAAGATACGCCGAGAGAGAATGATTCGTGCAGATATAGCAATGTCACACACAGCAAGTAACTACCGGTATACCTTCTCTCCCCTGATCCTTGAAATTGGCTGTGAGATGTAGATGTAGCCATTGGACTGAATGAAGAGACGATCACCACATCTTGAGGAAGGTCCAGAATGTTGAATCTTAGATCTGTTGAGATCCTAGAAGAGTTACATGCATGCTCACGCGGGCTATATAACATCTGCAAGATAACATGGTCGTTGACTGTTGACCAAGATCTTCAAAGTATAGATAGATAGACCGCGAAGGATGGATGGATAGAAAGCAGAGAGAAAAGAAAGTTCTCTGTGATATTTACACGTGACGTTATGTTCGGCTTTTATGGTTTACTACCGGGGGTTACAAGCTACAACAAGTGGCTTGGTGAAGGGGGCGGGGTAAGTTCAATCTAATTCGTTCACAAATTGTCTATTAAGGTCCGTGACTTCTCCACAACATTTCGTGTATCCTTCAAAGAAATCTCCGTTCGTTCAGGAACCTTCAACACTTTAATAACACGTCGTGAAAATCCAAATTGAATGCATTTTGTACGTTTTGGTACTTCAGTATCTCCGCATTATCTTGCTCAATATGATATCCCACTCGAACTAGTAACTCTTATCACTAATATTTACAACGTTACTTTACCCGATGCTCAACAATACTTAGAGACACGCATATACATACTGGGTTTATATGCTTGATCTAACACGTATAGGGAAGCTCATGCCGGCGCATATGATCAACACTGCTCTAGAATAACCATCATCATATTGACAAGTTCACCCCGCACGAAATGCGCTTATCCGAGAGTCAAATGCCAATGAAAGCTTTCGGCATGACTTGAGATAGTTCATGTGCGTTTACTACTACCCAGAATGCGCCGAAAGCACATTGTTGGGGGGGAGCAATGAATGCACATATTCAATATATATACAAGCTTTTCCTGGCCGGTGACAGGATCATCGGAAGTCAAACTTTTTCGTGTTCACTGTCCGAGTGTTCCTGCAGATTTATCCTCATGTGGACCATTAGGTTCACGGAGCTACTACTAGTTGTATGCTCCTACTCTGTGTGATTTGCTACCTTCAAGAAGCCGCGATTTCCTTCACAATATGTGTTTTGTTTTCCGTCTAGATTTTCTCGTCTTTCTTCTTAGTTGTAGTTCTCCTCTTGAGGCACTTGAGTAGCAGCCCGCTGGAGTCACCACCCAGTTGCCCCGTTACCCCGCTACCCCGCGTTGTCAATATTGATTGGAAATCGCAGAGATTCACCTTGTTCCTGTTTGTCTAATAGCACCGGTAACCTATCTCTGATCAAGTTGAACCTTCCCTCCTTTCTTTCTTCCTTCCTTCCTTCCTTCCCTCCTTCTACCTCAACCCTCTCGAATCCACTCCGTCTTCGTTGCCAAGACGACCATCAACTTCAACAATATCTCAAGAAGGAATCGTCGGCTCGTTCACCTCACATCTCCTACAATATCGTAGCGTAAGTTCTTAAACACTCAATAGTGAAGTTGCACCAAGGCATACTGATATCAGGTAGATCCGTGGTACCCTATAGAAAGTTCTTAGGTTTAATCTTACAATGCGTTCCCTTTTTACAACCGTGCTTGCGTTAGCATCTCTGGCTTTGACTACATCAGGTGTACCTCACCATCCTCAGCCTGAAAAGAGACAATACTATGGCAATCCAGCAAATACTGTAGAACGACAAGCTGCCGTAAAAGAGGCATTTACATTCGCTTGGGATGGATACTATAAATATGCCTTCCCTCATGACGAACTTCATCCGATTGCAAATAGTTACTCGGATTCAAGGTTTGCTTAATAGATCATGTCTCACAATACCTGAGCTAACTTGCCACAGAAATGGATGGGGAGCCTCTGCTGTCGATGCATTCAGCACGGCAATTTTGATGGAAATTCCAGAAATTGTGGATGTAATTTTAGATTGGATCCCAACTATTAATTTCGACAATACGACTTCCGAAGTCTCATTATTCGAAACTACTATCAGATATGTTGGTGGGCTACTTGCAGGTAATTCTTTCGACGTTGATCTGATAATCGTCGAGTTTCTTACATGCTTCAGGTTATGATCTCCTCAAAGGACCTTTTACCAAACTGAATTCCAACCATACAGCCGTTGATGAAATTCTCAAACAGGCAGCACGCCTAGCTGATAATCTTGCGTTTGCATTTGATACACCTTCGGGAGTGCCATACAACAACCTTTACTTCAACCCTCCCCGCACTGATGGCTCGACGACCAATGGAATAGCCACAATCGGCACACTGGTTCTCGAATGGACCCATTTATCCGATCTGACCGGTAACAAGACTTATGGTGAACTTACACAAAAGGGAGAATCTTATCTTTTGGATCCTAAGCCCAAATACAATTCGCCATGGCCTGGTGAGCATTTTCCGGTTTATCATTTCACACTCCCCAAACCAAATTCCTGTCCCACGTTTTAGTCTGATCTATGAATTCCTCAAGCTCTAAATGCAACCTGGTCTCTCATTCATCCACCCAAATCTTTCCTTGCCGAGGTAATTACTGACTCTTTTATGCCGTAGGTTTGCTCGGCACAAACGTAGATCTCAGCACAGGACTTTTCCAAGACGCAAGTGGAGGTTGGGTAGGTGGCGATGACAGTTACTACGAATACCTCATCAAGATGTATGTGTATGACTCAACTCGATTCGGCAAATACAAGGATCGATGGATCGCAGCTGCAGACTCGTCCATCAAACATTTGGCTAGCCACCCTTCTACTCGTCCCGATTTGACGTTCATGGCCGCTTATAATAACAAAACACGTCTTCTTGTCTCTGAGCATCGTAAGAACTCCCTCCAACAATTACTTGGCTATAAAAGATGGCAAACATTCGTGCCTGAGATTGGTAGGAGATCTCGAGAGCACCAGGCTGTTGTAGTTTGTGTTCTTGTGCACATATGTTTGCCGTCTCTTATAGCTGTATATTCGCAATGCTAATTTAAAAAAAAAACAGTTGCTTGTTTCGACGGAGGTAATTTCCTCCTCGCAGGTCTCGTACTCAAGGAACAAAAGTACATTGATTTCGGACTCAAGCTCGTCACCGGCTGCGAAGATACATACAATAGCACACTCACTGGTATTGGACCTGAGATCTTCCGGTGGGTAGAAAAGGACACCTATCTCAATGATACCAGCAATCCTCAACCATCTGCCGACCAACTCGCTTTTTACAAAGAAGCTGGCTTCTATATCAGCAATTCGCAGTATATCTTGAGACCCGAAGTCCTCGAGTCTTTTTACTATGCCTATCGTATTACTGGTGATCAGAAGTATCGTGACTGGAGTTGGAATGGCTTTGTTGCGATTAATGCGACTGCAAGGTATTTATTCATCCGGCTGTAGTCAAATCAAGAAAACATGGGCGCTGACTTTCAAATTAATAGAACCGGTAGTGGATTTGCTGAACTTCAAGACGTTAATGCGCCGAATGGAGGTGGCTTTGGTGATTTTCAGGATAGCTTCTTGTTTGCAGAGGTTCTGAAATATGCTTACTTGATACATGGAGATGTAAGCTTTCCCTGCTTATTCCATTCATTCCTCCTTTCCATCCTCTCCCCATCACCCCATGTAAGAAACTAGACAACTACTAATGCATCAACAAACAGGATGAAGAATACCAGGTTGGAAGCGGCGGTGTCAATCAATGGGTATTTAACACCGAAGCGCATCCCTTCAAGGTCGCCGGTCCTCCCATCTAATTGTTCATCCCTAGTCTGCCGTGTATTCCCAGCGGTATGGTGAGGTTTCGGTTTTCGGTGTTTCCAGAAGGAGCCCTTGGGTTGAGAGCTCTTCCCTTCCCTTTTGGCCATTGGCTATCCTATATAGGTAGCCATGCCACTTTCCACATCTAGCTTAGTTTGATAGTCGAATGGATTCTTTTCATGCAGTTCCTGATTTCATATGAGGGAGGATACTGATGATGTCATTCTCCCTTTATTCATTTTCTTGGAACATCTGTCTTATTCTTTGATATTCGCATTTGATTTTGCTTGTATTGTATTGGATATATATACACAGCAGATACGTGATATATACTAGGAATCACACACAACGTAAAAACATGTACCGGTAGACGTTCCTTTTCACCACATCACATCTGGGCACCCAACCGAATTTCTTGATATATACTCTACTCCACTCCACTCTACTCTACTCTACTCTATCTACACTTCACACGCTCGTCTATCTCCCCATTCACTACTACTCAGTATATTCCAGATGAAAAGTTCAGATGAGAAGTTTAGATGTGGCATAAATCGAATACTTTACATAACCATAGTTATAAATATAAATAATAACTCAGTTCAAACTTCAAGCCCCGGATTACTATGTAAAAAACTTAATTGACACCAGAGAAAATTGCTAGAAGACACATTCAGGCTTCGAAATTAAAGTTAACTAGATACCACTTGATACTACTCGATACTACAAATGCTCGAGTAGTTCGCTGGATCTTATTTACTACTACACAGTTCACACTAATCAAATCAAATCAAATCAAATCAAATCAAATCAAATCAAATCAAAGCCTGATCTAATATCATCTCCAAGATATATCTTATTATGTACATACTAGTAGTCTAGTACCGATATACATCTGATATATGTACTCAAGTATGGATTTAGAATACTATTGCAGTAAGTATACTAGAGTCGATATTGAATATTGAATATCGGAATAAATTGAAAATCAGTACTCTCTTTCTCGATCTATTCTACAGCGTATCTTAGCGACGAATCGGGTTGGGAGGTGTAAGGGGGGAGGGGAAAGGGGAATTGTTATTTGAAGACTAGATTTTGGGGGGGGGGGGGGGGGGAAGGGGTTGATATGAGGTTCTTGAAGGTTGTTGTGGTTGTGTATAAGAATAGAATTACGTAATGGGGGGGTTCGAATGCTTACTTTTGGATTTAAGAAAATTTTTGGGTATTGGTTGGATGTATTGAGATTTTAGAATACTATTGTGGATATAGAATATGGAATATGAAGTGAGAAAAAAATGAAAGGTAGGGCAGGGAGGGCGGTAGTATCAGAGCTACATAGAATGTTAAGGGCATCGATAATGATCTCCAAAAATATTCTTGTAGATATGCAACCAAGGTTCTTAGATGAGAGGTGAGGTGAGGTGAGGGGGGCCTGTGATATCGAATAACATTCATTCCGTCCTCTTCTAACATCTGAACGCAAAATGATCTGATACTTTACTTCCCCCTCCTTCAAACCTTTCGTTTCAACAATCCCTTCAGGAAATCAAAGCTATTACTATCACTTTGCAACTCCCAAACCTTTCCTGTTGGTCTATCTTCCCAGCCCAATTCTTCTGCACGCAGTAATCCCCAATTCGTAGTGATGCCCCTGATGATAGCTCTTGCACCACCTTCTGTTTCCAATGTAACTATTTGATCAGTATGCAACCAATGTTTATAATACACCTCCTCCAGCTTTGCATCGAAGCCATTTCGACAGAATGTTTTGTAGATGTTTTCGAATTTCGTAAGGAAACGAGCGAGAAGCTTCTCGAGTGAGAAAGGTGCAAGATGTGGTGGTAAGAGAGCATTGAGAGATGTTGTTGGCGCGGCGTTTGTGGTATTGAGGCCGATGCCTACGACTAAATTGTAGTTTCCGGATGAGTATGAGGAATTGACAAGTATACCGCCAACTTTGACGTATTCTTTTTTCCCCGGTTTGGATGGATCTTGGACATCTATTATTGTTGTTAGCAAGGGCTTGTTAGAGAATGAATCGGACTTACAAATATCGTTTGGCCATTTGAGCTTAATCGGTACGGTATCATAACCCTTGTCATATGAATGTATAGCTTCAACAATGGCTATTGCTGCCAAATACTGTATAAAGACAACCGGTGCTGTGTTCCCAAGTTCCATGGGATGTTTCATACAAACAGACCAGATCAAGCATCCCATAGGGGAAACCCAGACGTTGGAACCACGGCCACGTCCGGCAACTTGAGTTGTAGCTGTAAAGGTAAACCCAGTAGGGAGTTTGGATAGAAGCTTCGAATTCCTGTGATATGTGAGAAGGAATTTTGAGTAAGTAGAAATGGGGAGCTCACTTTTCCAACATTGTGTTGGTGCTGGTAACAACCTCTCCATACAAGAGAGTATTTCCAAATTCTTCAGCTTCGCTCGAACTTTCCTGTTGATAGTGTCTTAAGTTGGAGTAGAATGCATGGTGATTGAAATATGGTGTTTCTTTGGTGCCCGGCCAATTTGTCTCATGTGGAATGACTCGTTTAGGAATTGCATTATAATCAATAATTCCGTCATCTGGTAGAGTTGACTTGACGGCGTGCTTTTCGTCCGCAGAAGCGTCTGATGGTGGAAGCGCTTTGACCAAAGATTCAACAGACCAGTCGGTCTCTGTCTTTTCCAGATGAAAAGTGTCATTTTCGCCCTTGATAATCTCTTCACCATTCTCCTTATCGATTATCTCTTCCCATGAAGCCAGTAACTCTGGAACAAAATGCGGATCAATGGATGACAGATGAAGTCGAGAAAGAGATGGCACGGTGGAAGTTTCTTCGCTCACCGCTAACCCCAACTTCGATAGACATGCCTTCAAGAATTTTACTCGTGAGTCGTCATCCTCAGCCAGGTCCTTTACAATATCCGAGTACCCAGGTATACTTATTGTGGGATCCAGATTCACGGCAGCAAATCTGGAGAAATATAAGCAGATGGACAATTTTCAGGCAGATCAGACCTACTCTGGATGAGGCCCCGTCAAAATTGCTCCACCTTCACCAACTTTGCAATAGACGACCGCTGCATGATCTTGTCCACCGTCGACATCAAGAGAATCTACATAAGTAGCAAGCGTTTCAACTCCTTCATCCTTGAATATTCCTGCATCTACGAAAACTCCTCCGCCATTGTAATATGATTTAAACCTTTGAGGGGCATTTTCACTTTGAAATGCGTCCTCGACCTTGATCTCTGCAGCTCTTGCCCCTGCTTCACCATGATACACAAATCCCTTGAAAGCACATCCTCGGCAGGTACCCGGGTAAAACTGTAACTCTCGTGGTCCAACGACTTCTAGCTGTCTATTACCAACCTCAAACTCACATTTGGAGGTGCCATAGTAGCCACCGGCACAAAATCCAAGATAAGCGCCACCTCTTCGCACGTACTGTGAGATACGTCTATTGCCTTCTCCGTTAAGAGAACGACAGTATCCTTGATCGGCTCCTCCTGGGAATACAAGAAGGGCACAAGAAGCAGTCCAAGGCTCCTTGAGAATGACGGTATCACTTACAGGAATCACGGCGTAACTTGGCGAAAGCAAACGTCGTAATGTGTAAAGGCAGTGGCGAACGGACTCAATTGTACTTCCATTGCCTGTCAAAAACTTTAGAACAAGCCCCAGAAAACTGTTGATCTTATATACCTGAGTAAACCAGAACATCCATCTTTCTTGCGATCATTTTATAACGAATTTAAAAATCTGGTCACTGGGTCTCAACCGAGGTTCTACTACTTCAAGTAGAAAATATCTCGTTCTCGTTCGAACTTCTTAAAGAACAATTGCAATTCTCCAAATCCCACCGAAAAGGAAAGACGGTACTCAAAAATGTCGAACAAGCCAGAAAGCAATCCTCCAGCTGCGTCGGTGGTCGAGGATGACGATGAGCCTGATGATTGGTAAAATTGTTGATCTCAACAACTCGGGTCTGTTCACTGACTCAATTTTGTAGGGACAAACGAATCTTTAGCACAGGATGCGCGGGTAAGTCGAATCTTTCAACCAACAACAGGAAAGAGGGAGATGAATACTGAGTCGATTGAAGAGGAGAACTCGAAAATGACCGATTGCTATTTCGAAAAGAAAGACTGGAGATTGTGTAAAGCAGAGGTATGAGAAAGCTTCTCTTAGCGCTGAATCACGTGGGAATAAATGGAAGAAGCAAGACTATAACTGACCTATCCATGAATATGAAGCTTGAGACTTTCAAAAGATGCTGGAAGAAGCATCAAAATGATCAGAGGACGTCAACGAAGGATACTTGATCTTGACGCAGTGGAAGGAGTTGGGGAAGGGGGATATACGGGCATGAGCAGAATTGTTATTGATCTCAATTATATTATGGCTCACGAGAACGGGATGTACATTATTATAGACAGCAAAAACACCTCTCTCAAGAATAAAAAGCACTGTAAAATCCACTACAAGTAGCTACATATGATTTTTTTATATCATTTGGTCAAATTCAAAATTGTTGAAAATATGGTCGTCATTCTCAAGCGCGCTAACGCCTTCGTGAATATAGATAAATCGCGTCGATCTAGAACTTATTTTCTCCGAGAAACCGCGTCTACCGATAACACATTTTCTCCATACATCAATCAACATGGCAACAATTATATCCAGAGCATCACGCTCCATAGTAGCTGACGCAGCATCGTTGGTGTCAAGTTCATCGGCAGTATCAAGAACTGCAAGTCTGGCACGTCAATCAAGACATTTCTCGACAAACTTTCAAAATGCGGCGCTTCCAGCTTCGAGCTATACCCCAAGAGCGCCGGTTGTAGCGAGGCCTCCCACAAACTCTGCAACTCCTGTTGTGGCCAAACCGAGAGAAGCAGAACCTGCGATCGATGATCAATCGCCCATCAAGGATATGTCCACAGGGCTTGCGGATGAACCACTGGTTTTGGACGAGGGGGTTAGACAGGTCGACTGGACAAGATCATTTCACGGATTATCGTCTCAGCCATTCTCCAAAGAAGCTGCAGAGATTCTACTTGCACCAATTCCCTCTGATGATGTGGAGGTCAAGCCAGATGGAATTATATACTTGCCGGAAATCAAATATCGGAGAATATTGAATAGGGCGTTTGGTCCTGGTGGGTGGGGTTTGGCACCAAGAGGAGAAACTATTGTCACGCAGAAGAGTATCACAAGAGAATATGCTCTCGTTGCTCATGGGCGGTAAGTCGACATTTCTACTATCATTTGAGGGAGCATAGCTAATGTTTGTCTTCATTGCAGATTGGTATCCGTTGCTCGTGGCGAACAAGATTACTTCGCCCCCGAAGGCATTCCAACTGCCACCGAAGGATGCAAATCGAACGCCTTGATGCGCTGCTGCAAGGATCTCGGCGTGGCCAGTGAGCTCTGGGACCCTAGATTTATCAGGAAGTTCATGAAGCAATATGCGAAGCAAGCTTGGGGTGAACATGTCGTAACCAAGAAGAAGAAGCAATTATGGATGAGGAAGGACGACGAGGTTAGATACCCATACAAGGAGTCAAAGTTCGGCGCATAGAGGCCTTTTATGGTTATCTCACGGCTGAACGTCTAGGTTGGAGGCTCGAATACCAACATGCTGTACCATAGAATATATTTTGATGATCGAGGTACGTTCCGAGGAACAGAACGAAAACGATGCCTACACTATGAAAATCTCCTACAAACCAAGCGATTGCCTTCATATTGTCTTCTTCCAAACTCAAATTGCATGTTGCATTTGGTTTTTAATGCTCTGTGATTTATTACCTGCTGGTTGACAACGTTTCCTATCCGAAATCTCGCAATCGGTGCACGACAAACTCTCCACTCCAGACCTCTGCTTTCCCCTCAGCCATCTCGAAATAAGATCATAGCGGACTTTAGTCTTTAATTTCGCACCTGCTATGGCGCCGCATACCTGATTTATTATTATTTCGATTTACAGCCACGACCATCAACTCTTCGGCGCTTTGTCTAATGAAACATTAAGGAATATCTGCAGGACTCGCGAAGGAAGTGACTTCTTTTGGGGTTCGCGTATCGATTGCTCGACCTGGCGCCTCCACAACTAATTTGATGAAACCAGTTCATCTGACCTAAAAGTACATTTCGGATGATTATAAGAATAGTGAAGTCGGAGTATTCGTCGGGTCTTTTGGAAACCCCTCAATTCATGCCTGGCCAAATGATGTTGAGAAAGAGTGTCAAGCTATATTTGATGTTACTAGTACGGGACAAGGAACTGGCAAGCGAAATCATATCAGAGTGCCCATAGCGAGCACTGTACTCAGATAACTCACAAACATATGTAGATCTTACAAGAAGATCATGACGTGTTTAGATAGGTCTGGGAGAGTACTGGACATCATGGTGGTGTTGTGGAGACTTTTCGAAGAAGAGTTAGTTGCTACCTTTACGAAACTTTATGAGAATCGTGCCAAAAGCTTGGAGCACTCCCACGGAACATTATTTATTTTTGATCGCCCATCGTCGTTTCCCGTTCGCACGTCCACAATATAAGCTGTGAGCCCCAGGTTCTTATTTCTTGATTGACTGTTCCTCAAATATTAATTCATAGTGGAAGTCACTCCACTTTCGGGGGACATCCCAAATAGGCACTTTATGAAACCCATAGTTCCACTCCATAATCCTCGAGTTCGAGGATGGTGAAGTGGAGCCTAATATTCATCTAATTGGATAAAAGAGGCTAATCGACACTCTGATTAGTTATTGTAGGAGATCGAAATTCACTAAGCCCTGTGCATTTTCATGGGCTATGAAATATGAAAACGAAAATGTGCAGAATTTTTATAATATTCCACGTACCGGCACGCACGTACGCATCAAGCTGACATTACATTATTGTAACAGGTCCCCAACGGTGAACAGGCAATATTAGCATACCCAGCAACCAAATTTGCATCCCTTCTCGCTACGCAACAAAGACTGTCGAGCCTGGACTAATTAGCAAATAGTGAGGGGCTAACTAATTAACATTATTAGGTACCATATCACTAACGAATTAGTGTATTTAAGTTTCTGGTCAGACAATGTTCCAGACTGGTGTGCTACGTCCGGAATTAACGATTTACCTTTAGTTGAGGTAGATGCTATGTACACAGAAAGACTCTACTGCAGCTGCAGAATTATCTTCGCATCCAGTCCTATAAATAGGTACTGTATTCCCATATGAAAGAAAGGGGTGAATCCCGATCATACCTTAACACATTATCGTGGTTACAGTTTTCTTCAGCCCTGATAATCTTCAATCTTTTCTTTGAACACTTTTAGGGCGAGAAGACCAATCAAATCATGCTTACAGTCTATAACCGGGTTCAAATTTAATTTTCATTGCTGCTTTACTTATTTGTCAATGCCAGCCTTGTCCCCCAAGGGTAATACCAAAGTGATCCTACATTTTAAGCTTATATGGCCCACCTCGACATAGTATATCTTCCACTCAGAAGTGTTTGCTTGACGCGACGGATTCAATAAGTTCTTTAAACAGTCGCGCTATCCGATTGCAGCGTATGGCTAGGGCTATGGGTATTACCAGACTGTCCAGACATCCTCATGGGTTGGTGAAAGTGGGATTGGGGAGGCCCACTTGGCGCAGGGCCATTCTATTTCGTAAATGTACCAGATCTCCAACTACTTGGGTTCTCTAGATTTCCTTCGACCGCTTTTTAACTTTTTCATTTTGCAACAACTGGTGAAGTAAGTCATCAATGACGACTCCAACTTCGCGATATCCAGCAGCTGAGGGGACAGCTGGTGTGGTGACTACTTGGTTACCTCTAACCACAGTATATCCTGTTGTACCCAGCTGTAAGAGCGAGTTCTATTCTCCCGATAATCTTACATATATCTACGCCTACGATCCCAATCAAAATGCCCTTTCCTTCTCAACCAGATGCTGGCCCTCTCAAGCACTCTCGTGGTGGAATCAAGACACCGCTGCAGCAGTGGTCACCTCATTAGGACCATTTTTATGCCCAGAGGCATATACAGTCGCCGTCACCACTGTTGTAGACAAAGTCTCTACATTGACTGGCTGTTGCCCTAGTGGCTATGGCCTCGCATCTATGATGTCGCAACCAAATCCCGGTCAATGCACATCTACCTTCACCTCTGGAGCTACGATTACATATGTTAGCAGTTGGACACCGGCCTTTGATGGATATACGACAGTCACCTCCGTGTTGGACAAACACCATGGGATTCAAGCCGTGCAAATAAATGGATATAACTTCAATGGCAATTCCGCGGAACCCACATCAACTGGTTTCAGTTCGAGTCCAAGTTCGAGTACAAGTTCAGGATCTAGGTCGGGCTCGGGATCGGGATCAGCAACAGCAACTTCTGGATCTACTCTCGCCGCATCTGAAGCCGCAGTTACATCCACAGCTTCCTTGTCCTCGGGAAGTAGTAGTGCGGGACTTAGCTCAGGGGCCAAGGTTGGTTTGGCGGTCGGTCTCTCGGTTGGCGTAATCGCCATTGCCGCTCTTATCGCTATTCTACTCTTGATGCGAAGGCGGAAGGGTTATGGTACGCCACCGCAGCAGGATGTTTCATATGCATCGTCCGATGTTTCGATGGGCCAAGTCACCACTCCTCCGTATTCGCCTGTAGGCAAAGCACCCCATGAGATTGGCAGTATGCACGTACACGAAATGAACGGGTCGATGAATGTGGCTGAGCTGGATGGACGTCATGGAAATTGATATGGGATTTGATGGTATATTTTGGGGAGATTGATCTATAGCGAAGGTGTTCTCGGCATGTTGGATATTGTAGCGACCATAATTTTCGGGTGGGAATTTCACGCATGAACGTAAAGATATTTAAGGCTTTTGTTCACCCATTGTATTTATAGATTTACCATAGATCGCACTGTAATTAATTGTTCTTATGGCTCAGTACTCGAAGTTGACGTACCGTTGTATTCAAAGTTCGGGGAGGCCTGCTCGGATTTGAGGGGTATATATCCTACTGAGTATCATAAAAGTTGACATGGAAATGGCTTGCCGATGCGATGCGATGCCGAGTGCAAAGGATACTCCAGAATCTGATGGGTGCACAGCTATCTGTATTTATTTATTACTGCCGTTCAACGCTTGTTTTTTAACCAAATTATTCTTTGCTTCCCGACCCCTGGTCCCCTAAGCTTTAACAAACTCCCAAACAATCACCTCCCCTTCCTTCTCTCCAGTCTTAGGCACCGTTCCGAACTCTCCTCCCCCAATCTTCGCCAAATACCCTCCGCTAATCCCCAATTTCCACAGCCTTTCCCAATGCGTCACCATCAAGTAGTATCCCCCTTCCGGTCTAAGTCTTGCAGAGAATCTCTCCCATTCCTGAGGTTTCGTTGCAAAACAAACAACGTTGTTGTTCCAATCATAACCGAGATAACAACCTGATACGGCGTTCTGAAAATGGAGCCATCCTTTGTATTCGATGCATTTCCACTATTAGAAGGTTCAGTGTGAAGAAGATGGAAGGGGGTGAAGAGTTGAGAGAATGTACTCACATGGATGCTGCGACCAGGATTATCACCTGGTTGGGCTAAAATGACATATCCAGAGTCCAGACTTAGGAGTTTTCCGGACGAGGAAGCGCGAATGTGAAAGGTGGAGCCGGGCCAGGGGACAGAGCTTGAGGTAGAAGACTGTTTGGTACCTTTGTGGTTGTGCTTTTTATGGGAGGTGGATGTGGAGGTGGATGTGTAGGTGGAGGTTGAGGTCACGACTGTATTGACGGTCACGAAGATGGTTGAGGTTGAGGTCACGATGACGGTGGACGGTAGGGTCGTGGTTGTGAGGACTGTAGAGGTACAGGGAACTGAGTTGTTGACGTGTTGATCGGAAACCATATAGTTGATGAATATGCAAATGAATGGAATAGCTAGAATAAGGAGGATGCCAAGCTTATGATTTTTCTTATCGCTTGGGACAGTGGAGACTGCATCAAAGGTGGTTTGTGAGGACATGGTCTGAGATACTGGAGTGGTGCTATCGCTGGAATCACTGAGAGCACCGGAAGGTTGATTAAAACCGTTGGTGATGTGGTGGTCTGCAAGATCCTTTTCCAATTTGATTTTGGCCATTTCGAATTTTTCCTTGTATAAATGAAGTTGTTGCTCGAAGTTGATTCTGTCAAAGTTGATTCTGTATCTACGAGTAATAGTTAGCCGACTTGGACCCCGCATTACCGGCCAATCATTTTTACTGTGCCGCCCTCTATTCTGATAGGGCTATAGTTTTTCTGCTTCATGTTCTTTTTATTCTTGATTAGATATCTGATATCTGATATATAACATCTAATTCAGATTCTGACTCGAATAACCCATTTTATTTCCCCTACATACCAGAAACTACTTTGGTTGAACATATGTTCATATCACAAAACTTAGCACTTGTGAGTTCTATTGTTTTGAGCAAATGCTTCATTGAAATAATTTATTTCAGATTTATAGATCTACACTTACAATATACGCTACGAATACCTGAAAGATATACTATAGAAAAGAAAACTATAGGAAATATCATTCCCTAATGCCTCTTCTTATTGAGAGAGACATCTTTCGAGATAGATCTTTGGGTTTCATCTAGAGATATAGGTTTTGTATTGATTCTTTGATATTGCTTAATACATTTGGGTTTTAACGCTAAGATTGATCTCCTGGATCTAATTCATATCAAAATTACATCGTTACAAAACACATTATAGTATATTCAATAATACTGAATAAATAAATAAAGAGTCTATTATTTCGAGATTATTTATCTAAACCTAGCTTCAAAATCACAAGTCCATGATTACAAATTCATTATTACAGATTCATTATTATAGATTCATTTTCACAGGATCGTTATCGCAAGGTGTATTATATTACAGAATCTCTAACAAGAAATAATATACCTCAGATGCATGAATAAGAATCTGGCATTTCTTGAAGAGTTATTATCCAAATCAACAAATGATATATCAAAGATATCGAGAGAAGAGGCAAGTGCTAGCCACTGCCTAGTACATATATATGACTATCACAAAACTTTCAATAAAATAAACCTAAAATACAAATAAGCCAAGACTCTCAAACCCTCAAAATAAAACCCGTTACCAAGCCAATGCTCACAGGCAACAAACTTCCCAATACAAATGCAGATAAATTAAATCTCGCTTATTTTTCAACAGTTCTTCAAATCAACAACAGATGTAGAACATTTCCCACTCTCAAAATCCAGGCGCTATCCTTTCTTGGCTTTTCAGTAAATATTCAATCATGGCGTTGTTGGTAAAGCGTTGGACTACTCGTGGCAAGTGGTACGTTCTTGGCTGACTAATAAGCTTGGAAGGGCATCTGCACATTGCCGCACCGCACCATAAGCGACCTACTCCGCCCCATCCTAGTATTCGTCGTGCTTCCTTTCATCACTTTTCACATTCCCATATTGTTGATCAACTGTCCCTCGACTCGGGATACAAAACATCATTTTCGAACAAGTATTACAATCCATGACGCACTACATACGTTCTATCTCTGAGTAAAAAAAAAACGGAACGATTCACTTTGTGGTAATAACACATCAGTTAGACAAATATCTACCACTTTTTATTTATTCTGTTGGCCTCCTCGAAGCTCTGATATACCACCCACCTTCCATCTACACCATCTACACTTCACCATGCCAATCCTCTGGCCAGATGTAGATCGCTGAATTGCTGAGGGCAAGATGACGAAAACGGCGATTATGAATCACATAGATGCCATGATTCAAGTATACGTCGAGGGTGATTTTAGCGCTGCTGAGCAAAAAGAATTGAAAGAAGCTTTTGACTCTGCATTTGCTCAGCACGGAGATAAGGGCGCCATCATGACCGAATCAGCCTTTATCTCTCTTTTAAACACCAAAGACTTTCTTCCACGAACTCCAGAAGGAGTCGAGGCAGGCAAAATCATTTATGCTAGTATCGCATACTTGAGCACCCTACCATTCCCTCGCTACCCAGATGGGACTGAATCTCCACCAGAAGGTCTCGAATTGAACCAACTCGAACGCGGACTGCAGTGGGCCATTCCGGGCGGCCATTCCCATATGATTGCACAAGGCGGAGCGTGCCGCGAGCGTGACGAGATGGATCACCTGAGGTGGATATTTCAAAGCCTTGCTTCCATAACTCGTGGTTATCCTGAGGGCGAACAAAGCCCTAAAATAGAGCCAAAAAAGTAATCTGCAGCTGAGGGGCAGTCATTGGATGACAACTGCTCTTCAAATCACGGTGGTGATGCTGATGGTGATGAGATCTTCATGGACCTTTTTGATGTTCTTTACACCACGCAAGATATTCTAAATCTAGATCCTAGTAAAGGTGTCAAGAAGGAAGATTATCGACTTTTAGCAAAACAGTTTATGACGGAGTACCAAATCGCTTCATTTTCTTCACTCACGATTCCTACCAAAAGTTTCGAAGCGCTCGTGAAGATTCTCTTATTATTACAGTACTCGAGTACGCGAAGTCCTCCCAGAACTGTATGAATTCAGCAGCACAGCTTCGAGCCTTTGTGCTGTGTTCTTGTGCAAGGATGAAATCGACTTGATAACTTGGCCAATATTCGAGCACGGAATAAGAATGGTAACACTTTATCTTATGGATTCATACTCTAACCTACTCTCTCGTATGTTTTTAGGCAAAGAGAGCATACACTATGTTTATTCCTGAATCGCGCTGTACTACGAACCATTGGTTGTATATATGTATTGCCAGGCGTCTTCCGAATATCCACGGGATTACATCCTATATTTGGTTGAGGGAACGATTCCATATGATATGATATTATAGCGACACTAATCGCTAGTTAATTCATGCACCGAGCTCCATGGCGAGCTCCAAAAGAATGGCACGCGAAAAGAAAAATGGGATTGAAGAAAAAGTCGTGTAAAATATAAGGATTATTCCCATTATACTCGAGTGTTTATTCAATTAATCCCTATCCAAGCGATCAATCCTCTGTCTCAACTTCCCTATTTCCCTCGGCGTAGTTTTGCAGCAACCTCCTACAATAATATCTTCCCACAAACCTCTCGCCCTCGTCCTCTTAATAATCTCAAGAACCGCTTCATCCCACTGCAGATCACCTTTTCCGGGTGGTTCTCTGATTTCCCATACTTTGCTTGAGGTATTGTAGACTTCTCCCTTGGTGGTTCCATCGGGATATACTACCAAAGATGGCCATTCGCTAATATCTCCCTTCTCGATCAAGGCATTGACTTCTCGTTCAAAGTCTAGAATTAGATTCTCCACTTTTCCAACTTTGGTACAGTTGAGTCCGATTCCAAATGGTAATGGAGATCCATCTTTGTTGCCCAACATCGCTTGCACTATTTGTTGCACGGAACTTCCATCAGGTAAACTGTTTCCCTCGCCAGGAAATACACATGTAATCCAGAATGGTTTACTTCCGGTCTGTCCACTGTTTGATCTTTCAACATCTCCCATAGATTTCCTTACACCCTCGATCTCCTCCAATAATGGAATGGTCTCAAAGGCCACATAATCGATTTTCTCCCAACACTTTGGATCCTTCGAGAAAACGGAGACTCTTTCATGATGCCACGAACTCAACTGCTCGCTCGATTTATGCTCATGATCATATTTCCCCGTATATTCTTGTCCTGGGGTCATGATTGCACCATATGCACCAAGACTTAGTGCTATTTTGCCATTTGAGTCTTTTTGAGTGGAAAATGCATTGGAAGCAATATCTATCGCGCTTCTCATGATCCCATTAACTTCTTCTTTATCTCCATCTTCCTTCCCAGGGGCTGAGGATGTGTGTGAATGAACAGCATATCCCGAACCTCCAAACCCCTCATAACTCGTTTGATAAGTAGCAGTTAACAAAATATCAGCGCCGGCATCCACGAAAGACTTCTGGGTAGCGAAGAGTGTCTTGGGGCCATGAGGATGGGTGGGAATAAGAAGTTGAGAGGACCAGAGGGGTTCTTTTTCTGTGAATTGTACTTGGTGGGAGTCACCGAGTGTTGTGCCAAGGCCGCCATCAAGGAGATGGATTTTGCAGTTGGGAGACATTTTGTGACGGGATAGAGTATAAAGAAAAGGAATGGAATGTCAGGACCAATGAAGGTGTCAAAAGGTCGAACTGCAATGTAGTTAAGATGCGGTAGAGGGGGATGACGAATGGGGGATGGAAAGCATGCGATGTGGGGTATACATAGGGTTTTCCTTTCGGGCCGCTCTCGCTGAATGATGGCGTGCCCGATAGATCAAAAGTCGGATTAAGAGTTACATAATGGGATGAGATGAAGATGGGATGGGATGAAACGAAGAGTTTGAGAGTTTAGACTTACTCCTTCATTCATACTTACAACTCGTGTTGTTTCGTGGTTGGTTCTCCTATATAAAATGAAGTTTGTACGAGTGAAGATGATGCTCTTGTTAGGCACAAGATAAGATAAGCAGCAAAATTGGTAAAGTTAGATGAACCAGGCAGAGGACGAATGAATGTATGAGTATGAGTATGATTTGGGTAATCTTGAAGTATATCATCTCATATATTAAAAAGGTAGTTCGTCAAAGTTCAGAAGTTGTTGACATTCTCTTCTCTACTCAATCACTTCTCGTCCAAAAGTTCGTTAGCAGGCATTTATTCAAAGTCAATGCCAAGATTTTAACATGCCAGCCACATTTCCTTACGCCACATCACCTTACGCCACATACCTTACGCCGCCAGCCACATCTATGACGCAGAGTAGACGCACCAGCCGCACCAGCCAGTCAAATGAATCCAGGTATCAGAACAGAACAACTCTCCACTCAAAACTTCACGTATCATCTCAATACCTCGAGGTGTCCTTTCATACATATCTGCGGTTGAATCCGCATACCTCGAACTCTCCTTTACACACCATATTCTACTAAAAACTCTAAATCCGCATGAATACCTAGGATTTTCTCTATTTACATCTCTTCACTAGAACCACAAGAATGTCACTACCATCAGATTATTGTAAGTCCACCCCCCAACCTTTAGATTATTCCAACCACCAATCCATATCTCCCCTTTACTTACAACTCCTATCTTTATAGATGCCGTCCTCGGTGTAGCCTCTACAGCAACCCAGCAACAAATCCGCGACGCCTACAAGAAGTACGAATATCGATCCTAACCCCCCATATCTACCACCCCCAAACTAACCACCCCTTCATCCCCACAGAGCAGCTCTAAAAACGCACCCCGACCGCGTCCCCTCCGACTCCCCCGAACGCGCCGAACGAACCCGCAAATTTCAACGAATAAACGACGCATACTACACGCTCTCTGACGCCTCGCGCCGTCGCGACTACGACGCCGCACGCAGCTACCATGGATTTGGAAATGGATTCCCCACGGGCTCCACATCTATGAACGACGATGAAGAAATCCCGGATCCAACTGCTGGAGGCGGAGCATTCCCCTGGTCCAATTTTGGATTTTCGTCCAAGGCGAAGAATGCAGAGGAGGAAAAGAAGTTTGAGGAGGCGCAGTTTGGAGATGTGTTTGAGGAGATGTTGAGGGAGGAGGGGATGGCGGGGAATAATAATTCGCCGACGGGCAAGTTTTGGAGTATGGTGGGGGGGATGAGTGGAGGGGCCATGGGGTTTATTGTTGCGAATTTTCCGGGGATGTTGGCCGGCGCTGTGGCGGGGAATAGGTTGGGGGCTGTGAGGGATGCGAGGGGGAAGAGTGTTTATTCTGTTTTTCAGGTGAGTTGTGATGTGGACGAGTTCGGGGAGTGGGATCAAGGTTTATTAGAGGGAATCGTGCTAATATGTGCTGAATAGGAACTTCCTCAAGGTGATAAAGCAAGGTTATTAAGTCAACTTGCCGCCAAGGTCTTTAGTCATGCTGTGGGGGGTTCATAAATTACGAATTATTACGAAATTGAAGATATATTTTTTGCATCAATCGTTTATTTAATGATGGGTCTATACCGGATTGGCGTTTTGAGGATAACAGGGTTAGGGTACACGATTGCTATGAATATAATACAGCAATTGAATGAGATATGATTGGGATTATAGGATGGACAGAGCGGATAGGGTAGCGAGGATAAATCAGATTATGTACCTATGTAGATATCCAATAGAGCAATGTAATGAGCTAGGGTTTTTGTTTGTATGAGGTGATGTGTGTGTGATGAGACTGGTTGATGAACAGGGGGAAGACGATTGATTGATTCGAAGGAGCCTCCCCTAAGATATAATAATCAAGCTCACCGGGGAACAATACACACAAGTACCAGTATACCCTAGTAATAACTTGTGGTGGCAGAGCTATTAGGGACATGGAACTCTTTACATGAACATATTATCACATGTCGGTCTTTGAAAAGTACCCATATCCTTCACATCACATTATCTCAATCATCTGTATGTAGAATTTCTTGTATTCATCAGCAGCCAGCCACACTAATGTCCTAAATGGTATCTATATCCGCAAGAAAATGTAGCTTTTCTTTTTTGGAAAGAAGGGAGAAGGAAAGAAGGAAAGAAACACCAATATCATAAACGCCTCGAATCCAATTTAATCCAATCCAATCCAAGCCAATCCAAGCCATCCCGTTCCGTCAGCTCACGCCTCATATCTCATCTCTCATCCCAATTGCATAATTCCATTCCTTCCCCCTCCCCCCTCCCCCCTCCCCACTCAAAGAAACAACTTCACCAACTTCATCGCACCCCCCACACTCTCCATCCCCCCCGCCAGCATACCCAATTTCCCCATCGCACCCCCGCTACCCTTCACACTACCAGTACTCTTCTCAAACTCATACGCCGCATCCCTCCCCCCATTCCCTCCCCAAAATCTACTCTTTCCACTGCCATTCCCATTCCCTCCCTTCCCACCCCCAATCAGTTTCTCCAAGCCCCCAGGTAGCCTCACCCCAAATTTCTTCAATAATCCCGCGAGCGCACCCCCGGTTATCAGCGGCATGATAACTAGCATGAATACTTTCATCGGGTGTCGTTTCATGTAGTAGATGAGATCGCGTAGGAGCTGACGCAGTTTGTGGTAGATGCGTTTTAGGTAGTTGGGGCGTGGAGAGCGTTTGTAGTGGGATGTGGAGTGGGAGTGGGAGTTGAAGTTGGGGCCTAGAGAGAGGGTGGGGGTGTTTAGTTGGTTTGTTATTTGATTTATTCCATTTATTTAATTCATTCCTTTCATCAAATGAATGAATGAGAAATATGAGAAATAAGAGTTCAAGTATGAAAGACAACAAAAAAAGAAAGATTTAAAAACATACCGAAGAAACTACCGCGACTAGAATTTTGTTTCGCATCACCGCTGCCGTAAACGCTGCCAGAGCCTCGAGTACGACTCCTGGAGCGCTCGCGATGACTGTGGCTTGATTTTGGTGATGTATTTCCTCCTCCTCCTCCGATACTTTCGAGGATGCCAGAGGCATTGTTAGGGTGCGTGGAGTGCGTGGAGTGGGTGGAGGAACGATGTTTTTTGCCCGAATGCGAGTGCGAGGAATGCTTTCGAGAGGAGTGCGAGCGTCCTGATTCCGAGGCGCCGTCGAACCAACCCATTTTTGCGGGGTTTGTGGTTTGTGGGTTGATAGGAATGGGAGATGGGAGACGGGAGATAAGAGGAGAAAGTGAGGGAGGGGTTGTTTCGGTGGAATTGAGGATTGTGGGTGTGGAATGGAAGTAATTGAGAGGAGAATACAGTGAGTTGTGAGTGAATCTACAGCTTCAAATCCTAACGATTATTAGGTAGATAGGTACTCGTCTTGTATCGCAATGAGATGAGGGGTTCTTTCGTTCAATCCGTAGCTTCAAATCTAATTCCCACAAATAATCCAATCGATAAGAAGAAGTCAAATGCAAGACAGAAAAAGAAGTGGAGGAGTGGAGGAAGAGGAAGAAGACTGGATATGCGAACTACTCGAACTACTCCCCAAAAGAATCAATGCCATCCCAACCAACCTCCTGAGTTTCTGGCGGTGAAGAGTGGGCTAGGTAGGTAGGGCTAATGCATGGATTGTAGGGTTACATGCATGGTTGCATTGCAGGGGCTGAGACGTCGTGCGCAAAATCACGTGATGATATACTCGATTAGATGAAGATACTTTGTGTGCTAATTTAACTTGGGGACTTGGATAGAAGTCTTGAAGTGTGGTGTAGTGCTGTATTACAAGAGGAGAAGGGGTAAAAAATGAGGATAGTTGTAGATGAAGCATATTTAGACTTTTTGTCTAGGTACCGAATACCAAATCATAGAATCGATTCGTAGAGCCGAGGAAGATCTCTAGAATATGGGTAGTTAGTAGATAATTTGAGAATGGATGCTTTCCAGATGCAAAATATATGGCTGTACAGTATAGAAGAAAATTCGCCGAAAGAAATTTGGAGATGAATAGTCCGAGATCTTAGAATCAAAATAATTATAAGGAAAGCTAAAACTCTAATATCTACTTGTACTTATCTACTTATTTAATAGAAAATGATTATATAAACTATTTATATATATATATGATATAAAGTTATAAAGACCAATTAAATCACAGAACGAATCAAACTATCCTATTACTTCTCATGGGTTGGTTGTAACTTAGATTGATAGATGAGCGGGGGACGAGTAGAGGGCTAGTAGGCCTTCGATTAGAGCTATCTATTTATAATTTCATACTACACGGTCTTCTTCTTGTAGAAGATAGAGCAGAATAGATGATATAGAAAAATACAATACTGTGGTAAGTTTCATACAAGTTTTCAAGAGGGTCTAAAATCAAAATCAAACAATATGAGGAAAATTGTAGATACTTACTCGAGTCCTGCAGTATTGTGGTAACTCCAACTGATACTGTAGAAGAAGACTGCTCTGATATAAGTTTACAGAACCAGATCAAGTATCCTTCATATAAATAGCCATCTCTCAAACAATTATGCCTATCTATACAATCTACACCATCCCATCATAGCACATCCAGATACATCCGACCAAAAGAATCCAGCTCTCAACAATACAACACCTCCCTGAAGCATAGAAACGCAACTCAAAAATACAATCCTGCCAACGCAAAATTCTCCCAAACCCAGGGTATCATAAACGAAAGAAAAACGCATCGATCGTGGTATCATCAAATCATATCAAAGCATAAAACCCTCTTCTCCTTTTCTTTTCTTTTCTTTTCTTTTCTTTTCTTTTCTTTTCTTTTCTTTTCTTTTCTTTTCTTTTCTTTTCTTTTCTTTTCTTTTCTTTTCTTTTCTTTTCTTTCCTTTCCTTTAATCTGTCGAAAGTATAAAAGAACTCTTCATAGAAACCATCCGAATAGAGCCGCGACACCACACAGCACACTGCCCGTAACCATACAATAACTAACCCCGCTCGTCTTGCCACTCCCACTCTTACTCAATGGTGTCGTTGCATTTGCATTCGTCTTATTGGTATTGGTATTTATAAGTTGGAAAGCGTATATACCACAATCCGTATCGATAGATCCCGATCCCGTGATTGTGGAATTGTTATTTCCGCCTTTGGGATAGTTAGCACTCGAATTCCCAGTTCCAAGGTTCAAAGAAGAATGTATTTTGGATGTTGGAACTTACAGCCAGACAGAAGAATACTATACACATTCTCGCAGTTTGCAGCCGAGTTATTATCCCCAGAACACTTGGTTGTAGTGGAGGTGAAGTCAAGCGAAATGGTAGAAATCAAGGCATAATCCATATTAGAGTTATTGGCACTGGATGTAAAGTTGCTCGAAGCAATTTGGGTGCAAAATTGGGTGGTATAGTTTGATAGGGAAGCGATGGTGGATGGAGTCGTGACACTGGAATCTTTGACACATATCGGTATTGAAGTTGCCGTGACAATCGCGACGAGATGAGCCAGTGCGACGAATGGTCGTGAAATCATCTTGATTCAACTGCTTTGATGTATCCGTTGTGTGTGATTTATAGGTAAGGTTAAGACTTCAGATAGGTTTCGTGATGTGCTTGTTCTTTAGAGGGTGATCAATTTCGCGGTTTTAGCTTCCAGAATTATTAGAGACATAAACCACTCAATTGGAGGAAATACAAAACATTAGCACCATAACTATGGTTACTGCGATGAATATGTGGATACATATAACATTTCTGGTCATGACGCTCTTAGCCTTCATGGTAAATGAAGGATCTTGACGGCTGCGGTCAGATAAAGCTGCGGCTAAGCATTGTGATATGCATGACTATAAGGCCGATTGGCTTTAAGTATTTATATATACTTTTCATCTTCGACAATTCTTACTTTTGGCTTCTGACACATCCAGTTGCAGTACCGGAGATTTTTTGTCAATTATAAGAAAGCCAATTAGATGCTCACTGGTTCAATCATCTGAATACTGGGGGTTAGACCCCATGAACTGCAACATGCTAATTATGTCCTTGAGCCAAGGCCGGGACCGCAGATTACAGTTGTCATTCTTGAAGGTCTAACAGACTCGTTTCAGTATCTTCCTTCAATGGAAGGATTTAGGGGATCAATCGCGGCAAAATAATCATTGGCTACTAACCATATAATGTTGGATCGACACCAACCTTGAGGCTCGTGCTTCTCCTCCACAATGGAGTGATCACAGGTACACCCGACGATGGGGTGGCAGTGGGCAGTGCTACTGTGGTAAGAAAGGCAGAACAATAGATGCACTAGTACTATAAGACTACGATTAATGTAAAAAAGAAACCAAGAAAAGAGCACAACATTGATAACGAGATTGATAATGGAAGAATTCCAAGGTAAAAAAACGCTGGAGACAAAGTACAAAATCTGAATACATCCAGGATCAAGGATCCAGAAGATACCAGAACAGCAGGTACTCAGCATCTTGGCAGTGCTCAAGCTCACTGCTGCTCAATGTGACACTTTCTGCACAGAGCCGTATGTAAAAGGGCCGTAGCCCATAAGATGGTTGGAGATGTAAGATTTTGATCAGAGCAGAAAGAACACAATTGAGCTTGTTGAAAGAAAATACTATTCAGGAACTTTCGAACTCCAGGCTGTGATATGATATAGCCGCCACAATCTGTAACCTTAATCAAGTATAAATTCATTTTGCTGGCAACAAATATATTCGCGGCGAAGCAGGAAATGCCAGAAACAATCGTAGTATCCCGCTCCAGGACATTGCCATTCATGCTATCTGCGGAACTCGAAGCTTGTGAGATAAAAGAAACGATGGTCTTGACAGTGAACCCGATTGGTTGGGACCGTCGGTTCACTGGATTGAAGAATATCATACCGTGGCAAGACAACATTTCGGAGTATAAATGCCGTGACAAATTTCTGATTTCGAGCGTCTTAAGTATATGTGTAGGAGATGGAGAAACTTCATGACTTGAGGTAAAGATACTGGATAGAATAGAAAGAAATTGATACAGAATTCTTTTGTAGTCAATTCATCCTTACGAGTCACGAAGAATCGTCAATATTGCCTGCGGGTGAGGAATTTGAGAGAGGCGGCGTAGCCTTACGGTATGCCCTAAGAGAATCTTTAGCGTTCTTTGATATTTGATATCCAAACACGCCGATGGGATAGGGTAACTTGTAATCAACAACATTTCCCTCAATGAATATTGCAAGAACGATTGATATTTGAACGATTCATCCAAACCGCACACTGGATGTTGTGTAGACGTCGAAATGGGAATATATCGACAAATCAGAGTATATCTCAAAATAGTTGTCTTGGGACGACTTGATGTCGAAGAAATCGCCTGTTTGTCGTGGGATTGTTGCGAAAAGCCACAGCTGGCAATAACTTCTAGTGAAGGTCTACAAAGTCTTGACCCAAGGCCATTGAGTGAGTATATGACTGTGCAGCTGGAGTTTAGTTTCCCAAGTCCTACATGTATTTGTATTTTACTCATTGCGAGTTCTAGTTAAATGGCTCTTTTGCAAAAGTGTCGAGTGCCTATCTCTCGTTTTAGTCATTTACTCCGGACGACAATATCAGTTGAACAGCTTGCGGAGCAATAGATATAATGGCTCAAAATCTTCATTTTGAAGCTATTAACTTGTCGTGCATATATGTCTTGTGTCACTTCGCCGAGCATTTGCAACCAACAGAATCTATGTGGCATAGTACAAAAGCACAAACACACCCACAAACCCACAAACTCCCTCCCTCAATCAATCAATCTACCTGTCCAACACATCTCTTGACCTTATTACTAATTCACGAAAATCAGAAGTAGTCATCGTTTGAATCCTCACAGTCCTGTCTTATATTTTGACACTGAAGGCATTTGTTTCTCTTCACAACAGCATCATGGACGGTATACAGCTCAGCTCCTGGATAGTCATCCTAGCTTTGATTATGGGGGCCTACTTCAGTTTTATCAACACATTAGGAAGCAATAACGAATTGCGCGAGCCTCTAGCCGCTCAAACAAGTATTCCTTACATCGGTCATGCCCTTGGCTTGATGCGAAGTAAATTCAACTATTATGTTGACTTGAGGTAGGCTTTACTTGTGAATCGCTCATGACAAAGCGAGTATAATCATTCAAGCATCATACTGAACTCATCCTAGCCACAAGACTCTCGAGCCCATTCTCACGGTCACCCTCTCAGGCACAAAAATGTACATTGTGAACAGCCTCCCACTAATCCAATCCATCCAAAAGCAGCCCAAGGATCTCGCATTCCCCCCCATCGAAGCCAAGTTCGCCAACCAAATCTGTGGCGTCAGTCCAGAAGCCAGCAAGATCCTCATGTCAAACGTCAATGGCGATGATGGTAATTTTGGTTTGTCCATGGAATCATACCATGCCATGCGGGGTGCACTTACTCCGGGTTCGGGCCTCGATCAAATGAATAGAATCATGATCCAAAACGTAGCGGCATCTCTTGACGACTTGATGCCATCTGGAAAAAAGAGTGTGAACATCAAGCTTTCCGAGTGGCTACGCAGAGTGGTCACGAAAGCCACAACAAATTCTGTTTACGGACCTCAAAACCCGTTCAAGGAAGCTGGTGTCCAAGATAGTTTCTGGTATTTAAGTTCATAATTCTGTCGTGAGAAAGAAGGCATACTGAAACCTTTGCGTGTTGTTAATAGGCAATTTGAAAGTCAGCTCATGACGACCTTAGTCGGTTTTCTCCCATCAGTCTTCGCTCGAACGGGTATTGCAGCAAGAGCAAGAGTAGTCACTGCTTTCGAGCGCTATTTTGAAGCTGGAGGCTATAAGGAAGCATCGATTCTCATGCAGAGCCGGTACGAAACTGGTGCCAAAAATGGTGTGTCCGTTTCCGATATCGCGCGGTATGAGGTTGGGTATGCCATTGCTATTCTCGTTAATACGGCGCCAGCTGCTTTTGTAATTTTATCCACTTCTTCAAGTCGATATGATCATTCCTCGACCTCGGATCTAGCTTTCGTTTCATTACTAGCATCTTTTTGACCGCTCGATCCAAATCAAATTCATCATTTTCCCTCTCGGGTCTTTTTCATTTAAAGGGTAATAGCTGACTCCTGGGGTTCTAGTGGATAATGTTCTTTCTCTACTCCAATCCCTCGCTCCTCCAAGAGATTCGCGAAGAACTCGATGCCATCATGGAAGTCAGCCTCGACTCCAACAACAAAACGATCCGCACCCTCGACATTACAAACGTAAAGGCTAGCTGTCCACTTCTTCTCTCGGTCTATCAAGAATCACTCCGTCATCTTTCCATGGGCACATCTGTCCGGGAAGTGGTTCGTGATACCGTGCTCGAAGGTAAATGGCTTCTGAAAAAAGATAGCATGATCCAAATGCCCAGTCGAATCATCCATATGGATTCCACCATTTGGGGTTCTGATGTTGAGGAATTCAACCCGAGACGATTCTTGAAAAACAATGGCAAAACAGGCACACAAAAACGACCAAATACGGCGGCGTTTAGAACCTTTGGTGGTGGAAGTACATGTGAGTATTTTCTTTCATGTTACTGACCTCTTTACTCCTATGACATTCCCTTCTCTTTGAACACGCATTGATACTGATGCTATTCACAGTATGTCCCGGTCGTCATTTCGCCACGAACGAAGTACTGGCCGTAGAATCCATGTTCGTCATGCGTTACGACATGAAGCCTGCAGCGGGTACGACATGGAGCATACCCAAAACCGAAAACACAAATGTAGCTGCTGTGATAATGGAGCCGGATACGGATATTGACGCGATTGTTTCCGTGCGAGAGGGGTTTGAGGATGGGAGATGGGCTTTTGGATTGAGGGACTCGAAGATTATTTTTGCGGTTGTGGAGGAAGATCGTGTTGGGGAGTGATTGGGGGAGTGATGAAAGGCATTTTATTAGGTTTAGGATTGGGAGCTTTGGTCGAAATTGCCCTGAGCTGGATTAATTGAGTCTTTCTTTCCCCCTTTGCTTTACATTTGAGTTCATCTTCGACATACAATCAATACTGGTTATGTGAAACTTCTAATCTAATATTGTCAGTTGACTATCAAATAGCCGACAAATAGCTACCACTAGCAAACGCCTATTTGCTAGTGACACTATAGTCACTTCTGTCACTATTGACTACAACTCTAAAGGACAGGTCAGAATACTTTGCGGATATTGTTTGTTTAGCTTCCTTTGATCTTTCTTACTTATTTTCTTATTACATCATCATCCTCCTTTAATTTCTGCGTCACTAACACGCGAAGCGAGACTTGTGCAACTTCCAAGTTGCTTGCCATATTCTCCAGCAACACCAAGCTACAGCTCGAGCGGGCTTCTTGGAGGCGTATGTTCCATCTAAAAGTAAACCTCTACTCCATATATGTTTTTCTCTTTCGGAATTCTAGCGCTAGTAGAGTTAAATGGAGGGAGGTGTACTGGATTTGAAACCCCAGAGGTAGCCAGACACACTCACGTATCCATTCAATCATAGACGAAAATGATGTCCACATCTCATACTAGAGATATCTATCTACATCACTTCCGACTCAGAGAGTCAGAGACTGAACACTCATCTCATCCTGTGTGGCTGAACTTCTGGTTCAAAAATTGTGAGATATATTCCCATTCGTACAATTAGAGTATTGAAGTATATCAAATCAAGCATAAGAACTGAGCAAGCAAACCATCTACACTATAGCGATAATGACAAAAACAAGGCTCTTCAGCGATTCCTCTTGTACTGAAGTCACAACACCATTTTCTACAGTGAGACTTTCTGATTTTCTGGGAGTGATCTATCCACCTCCAGATCTACTTATTTATCCTTTACTCTACTGCTGGTGGGATTCTTGGGGTTTTACTATTACTATCTGCTACGATGTGTTCTAGCTCTGGTGGTGTGTCCTTGAATCTCGATTTTATATCTTTGAATCCCTTGAGTTAGTTGGATTTGAGGTTTTCGGAATTTGATTAATTCGTATACATCCATCTCACTATACACTATGATCTAATCTCCATCGAGTACAAAGTATGAAAGCATATGCAAACAACTACTTTGCTAATACTCACAAGTAAAGTACATACACACTCGGCTAACAAATGAGAACAAAAGTATGTTCAGCGTACGAGTAGACTGAGTATATACTCGAGTACTCCGTAGTGAGAGTTCTACGAGTATGACTTTGACGATATTGATGGATTTTATTTACTCGAGGAGTACATATCTTTTTGTATTACTATACTCGTGTACTGAATTTGTTTATAGTGTATGAGGGTTTGAATTTGAGGTGTACAATATAATATATATCGAACTTTCATTTCACCCACCAGTGCGTGCAAAGATTCATGGAATGGAACGCTTCCCCAATTCCAAAAAGATTATGGTTAATTTCAACTTCGATTGATCCAATTCATATTGTATGATCATTGTTTGATCTGTCTGGAATGATTTGAATGGATTCGTCAAGCTCTAAAGTATACGAAGAGAAATTTCGAGAATCATATTAAATATTTGTTCTTTTTACATCATTTTATGAATCTGTACACTCACTGACTGGTATGGTAGTCCAACGAAACGTTATTAATTAGCTTTGTATATTTGTTTAGTCGCTGTATTCCTAGATGTATGATTCCAAGTACCTGAGATTCGACAAGCCATAGATGGGAATATCATAATAGTAGTTAACTCAGTTGTATATGAAGCTATTCCCACCTCGAGGGCAGGAAGGCTTAAATGGGATAATGAAATTATCTAAGATGACTCCCAAGTCTAAACACGCTTATCACCAGTGTCTAACTCTAAAGAGGGAAAGCCAACATCATAATCACTCCGAACCTAGGAGAATCCAACAATCTTCCTCGGTTCATACAATTCATCAATGCTCGATTCCTCTTCCTTGGTCAACTCAAAATTAACCGCATCAACCGCCTCCTGAACTCTCTCAATCTTACCCATTCCCACAATCGGCGCCGTAACATACTCCTTGCTCAAACTCCAAGCCATCGCCACAATCGCCATACTAACCCCCCTCTCGTTCGCAATCTCCTGAATCTTCTCATTAATCTTCACATCCGCCTCCGTAAATTCATTCCCCATAAATTTCCCACTCATTGCCTTCCCCCTGTCACTCTCCGTCGCCTCTTGATGGGGCCTCGCCAGATACCCCATCATGATCGGACTCCAGGGAATCATACCCATGCCAAATTTCTTCAAGCTCGGTACCATTTCCCTCTCCTCCTCCCTGTAGGCTGCATTATGCAGATTCTGCATACTGATAAACTCCGTCCACCCATGCAATCGCGCCGTATACTGCATTTCCAACAATTGATGCGCCCACATGCTCGAGGCGCCAATATATCTTACCTTGCCACTTTCCACCACATCATGCAGAGCCTTCATCGTCTCCTTGATCGGCGTGCGCGGATCAAATCGATGAATCTGTAGTAGATCGATGTACTCCAGACCCAAGCGTTTCAAACTCGCGTCTACACTATCGAAGATATGTTTGCGGCTCAATCCACTCGCGTTAACATAGCCCTTCGCATCTCTCTCCTCGGGCGCCATCTGAAGGGCATTTTCCCACCCTGATTCAAGTCTCTTACCAACTGGCGCATATAACTTCGTTGCGATAACGATGTTTTCACGGGGAAATGCATATTTTCGGATGGCGGCTCCGAGGATCTCTTCTGATGTTCCGTTGCTGTAGACATTGGCTGTGTCGAAGAAATTGATGCCGGATTCATAGCAAGCGTTGATGATGGGGAGAGCGTCGGCCTCTTCGACGGCCCAGGTTTTGAAAGATCCGCGACGATCGCCGAAGGTCATGCAACCCACGCAGATACGGGAGACTCTTAGACCGGATTCACCAAGGTTGGTGTATTTCATCATGTTTTTGGCCATGTTGGAGAGAGGGGGGTTCTTTTGCTGGCACTTTATGTGATTCAAAGATGTAGCAGAGTGGTTGAGTTGATATATAATAGGAAACAAACTTGATGAATTTATATGTAGATGGTATAGGCAGAAGGATTTGACGTCACCCGGAGATTAGAATTAAGTCCTGGATTTCATTCATGATTAACAATCAAGACTCAAAATGATATGTGGGCTGGCGGGGTAAGGACCCCTTTCACCTCGGCAAGCTGGACGAGGAGACTAATCCCCACATTCCACGAAATACAAGGAATCACGCATTGCGAATCTCCTGTAACCTTAGGAAAAGTCAAAACATGAAGCCAAATTTGGAAACACTGACTGTACTTACTGTATTACCTTGAGGTCAAGAGAAAATGATATAATGCAATTGCATTTTCATATAAAGAAGTCAAAGCCCCATCGTTGAAAAGAGACAGGAAGATTAGTCCTAATCATGCTGCCATCCAGCAGTATACAGCGACAGAATGCATGATTAATTGGGTGTCTTATATCACTGGACAGCAAGTATAGTAAGGTTGCACGATTAAATGAAATAAACCCGCAGAACAGAATCGTCTAGCATAACTCTTGCTCAGACATTGTAACTGCACTAGAAAATGAGGTGAAAGTATTCTAACCGAACAGTTGTATCATATCAAAAATTACGCCACCCCTATATCGCCTTGTAGTAAACTCCACGGATCGCATTTCAATTTCATTCAATCTTTGCCCGCGAGATCAGCAATAGTCCCTACTTTCTTTCCGACCGGAGCCGCTGCTCCTGTTCGTCCACCGGTTGTTTTTCCTGCAGGTGCGGCCGGGACCCGGTGAATGTTGAACGGCGAGTTCTCTGCTGCAGTATATGCATCGAACGAAAACAGGGAGTAGAGGTACAATCCGAAAAATGAAATAATATCGTGGAGTAGTCTATCGAAGCTAAAGTTTCTTGCCATCGAGGAGCTCGTCGGGGAAGATCCGCCCAGTGTTCGTCCTGTATTGGAATAGGCTGGCTTCGCTGTGCCAGAAAGCTTCACAGCATTCTCGATGGCGGTCGTGAGCTTGCGGACATCTGCGCCTTGAACAGTTTCAATCACAGCGCCGGATCGAAAGATAAGGAAGGTTGGCATGCTGATAGAATTATGAGAACGAGATCTAGCTGATGTGGGAAGGATATCGCTTACGCTCTGACTCCATATCGCTGAGCGATAGACTGCTGATTATCTACATTGATTTTTGTAAATGTCACACGGTTTGGCTTTGAGTGCTTCGTAGCCAGAGATTCGTAGGTTGGGGCAATAACTTTGCAAGGTCCGCACCAGTCCGCATAAACTACATATATATTGTTAGTGGCGCGCATCTATCGCATTGGAGGAGGAGGATGAAGTAGTCAACTCACAATCAGAAACAACAATGGTTGATGAACCTAGCAATTTGCTGAACTGCATAGAAGACTCGATATGTACCGCCATTCTTTAAAAGATTCTTCTGATCTGCGAAAGTTATTTGGTTATTGGGTTATTGGGTTATTGGGTTCTTAGGTTCGTTCACTGATGATTATCTGAATGTGAATGTATGAATGTAAGTGGAGATCTGGTCCCCTCTTTATCAAGGCACGGACTATTATATTCTGCCAGGTTATTATCTCGAACTTTTTGACCGCCTCAATATTTATTTCTGAAGAAATCCAAAATTTCCCAACTATTCACAAAAAATGGGTAGAGGAGAGACAAACACACAGGTATGTTGAATCCAGTGCTATTGATGGGTACGGTATACTTACAAACATAATTTCAGAAGCGGAAACGTCAGGCAGATGCCAATCTCGCTTCCAATGAACAAAAATCGAAGAGAAAAGTGACTACGGTACAGACTACTTCAGATGGGAAAGTGACTGCACCGGTACCTGCTGCGGTTGACACTTCGAAACCTACAGCTGTCTTTCGACCTACGAAAGGCAGAGATTGGACGGTCAGTGTAGCTTTACCGGGAAGTATAATTTCCAAGTACGCTGTCTTTCTGCATTATGTCAAAACTATGCTGACCCTTCCAGCGCTCAAAGCCATGATCTTCGAACGTCTATGGCCGGCCATATTGCCCGCGCCCTTGCAGTCTTCTGCGTCGACGAAGTAATCATATTTGACGATGGTAATGCTCGTCCTTCGAAACGTCCTCAGCAATCGCATAGCTACCAGCAAAAAACCCCAGAAGACGATTACACAGCAAGTTCAGATCCTGATCATTTCCTTACCCATCTACTTAGCTATCTCGAGACACCTTCAAATTTGCGAAAATATCTGTTTCCAATGCATCCGAATCTAAGGACAGCAGGCACATTGCCTAGTATAGACTTACCACATCATCTCAGGACCGATGATTGGTGTATGTATAGGGAGGGTGCTACATTACCCGGTGCAGATGAACATGGAACATTTGTGGAGGCAGGATTAAGAATACCAGTCACGGTAGCGGAACAAATACCAGAGAAGAACAGAGTTACTCTCAAGTTCAGTGTGGATGCCGAAAAAGCCGCAAAGGATAGAACCTGTAACGTTATTAAAGCAGAAGCTGTGAGCCCAGATGAACCAAGAGAAGAGGGTGGATACTATTGGGGATACAATGTTCGGAGAGCTGGTGGTCTAAGCGACGTATTTACAGAATGTAAGTACGATGGAGGCTATGATATGACTATCGGAACTTCTGAGCGAGGTGTCGATGTCCAAGATCTTTATGGCGAAGACGAGGAACAGAAAGTGGGGAAGTTCAAGCACCTCTTGGTAGTATTTGGAGGGGTTGCAGGACTAGAAGTGGCCGTGAAAAATGATGAAGAATTTCAGAAACTGGGTGTTGTAGAGGCAAAAGAAGTCTTCGATAGATGGATAAATGTGTGCCCGGGTCAAGGCAGTCGAACCATCAGAACTGAGGAAGCCATATGGATTGGTTTGATGGGGCTAAGACGATTAGTTGTCAACAACGAATAAAATGTTATCCGATACCCAGAAGTTTCAATCAATGACTTCACTCACCCTTTGCATCATTTGAAAGTTGCAAACTAAGTAAGCAGCATTGCAGAAGCCCCGGGCAGCAAACCAAAAAGATCAGAATTCTTAGATCGACATCACAAAAGCAAATCTCCTTTGATCAGTCAGGCTAAGTAATGATTACAACGATCTTTGACTCGAACAAGCTATTTGTGAAGTTTACTTCCCTTTCCTTATATACCAACAGATTCATTTAGAGATATCGAGGGTGCTTTATACTGAAGAGAAAGAAGGTCTCCTTTCATAGAGCTTCACGTCTTTGTTGTATTATCACTATATATGATGGCTCGTCTGCAACAACACTTTTTCTGATCCCACCGAAGCAAAAGTTTCAAGGCTATAACAGCACTTTTAAAACATTTTCTCTACAGACAACAAATCTCATCACCACAACTACCTAACCAACTACAATTTTTCAACCAACAAGAACCAAAATGCAACTCATCAACTACCTCCCCATCCTCGCCGTTCTCTCCCCAGCACTGGGCCTTCCAGCCCCTGCTCCTGCTCCCGCTCTCGCTGCTGCCCCCCTCCCCGCACCCGCCACCATCTCCAAGAACCCCAACATCGCACCTATGTGCACACCACAACTCAACGCCAACACATGCGTTCTCAACTGGAACACCAACACCATGGCCGCGAACGACGATCTATCCAACATCAACAACCTCGTTGCCTACGCACGCGTCACCATCTATTCCAACACCTGTACTGCTATTGGTGGAATCAGCAACGGACTTGATCAAAATGTTTATGTCGACGCTGCGGGATTCGAGCAACGGATGTTGCTCCAGAATATGTGGGATGAGGCGAAGGGGTTTAAGGTTCCAAGATGGATCTACGATGGAAAACAGTATGGGGTTGAGAACTGCTCTTGTTTTGATGGGCCGCTGTTGGGCGAGCCAAAGGATACTCATGTTTGTCAATTTCCTTTTGATTGCCACTCCTGATATTGTCGCTTAGATGGCTAGGATTGGATTGGGTAATTTTTTCTTCGTTTTGCGCTTTCTTGGTATTATTACTGAGTAGGTAGGTATATCTTTAGGTTCATTGTTATATACTTGATTTCTTGTATATCTTCTATTTTTCTATACTTCCTTGTACTTCTTTATTCGAGAAGTATACCACATTCATTAGGCTTCAAAAAACAATTCTATTTTCAGTCACTCTATGTCTTGCATTCATGCTGTGACCAACCCCCCGTGAGCTTCCAATGAAGTTCTTCCAATTCTCCCATCACGAATCTCCGTTTCATCGCCATGACATTCTCCATTCTCCATTCTCCATTCTCCACCCAATCTCATCCTCCCATCCTCCCATCCCAAGAATATTATTGATAATCTACACCGTAATCCCGCCATCTGACCAGCCAACAAACCGCAGAAACCACGAGGACACTAGCATTATATACACGTCCACACTGCGTATGGGTATATATTAGCCACTGCAGAACCACAAATTACTCTTCGATACCTCTTCGAGATCATCGAGCAAGATCATCGAGCAAGACCAAATAGCGGTACAAAGTAAAAGCATAACAAAACTACTTACTGTGGCTACGTATGTATACCCCAGACAAATCTTCAAGTGGAGCATTAATGAATACCTCATACCCCATACCCCCTATTGTGTACTCGAATACCCGAATACTGTTCGTACACCCTGAATCCCGAATCCCGAATCCGATCTGTACATCAGTATGAGTCTGAATATACAAAAGTAATTCTCGAGTGCGAAATGATAATGTGTGAGTTTATTCGATGCGGGCACAAGGGATGAAAAGCTCAGATGAAAAGGAAGTTTTCTTCCTTGCCTTCCAATCAGCAAGGTTTGCAAACTTAGATTTGATATAAAGTTGCTTTTTGTTTCATATGTTAATTTGCTTTGCGGTGAAAGCGGTTAATGAGAAAATAGACCAAATTCTTCTGTTTACCAAGAGAGCCGAAAGAGTTCAGATATTCCTGCAAGGGCTTCGTTTCGTTTGTACGTATTCAAACCAATCATCTGATATTTGGTTTAGCCTCATCTTATTGTATCGCGGTATTATGATCGATCATGAGAGTAATTGTGGTCACGCATCGTGGATCGTGTCGCCATACCATGCCATCCTGCCGCCCTCTTCAGCCACATATCGTGTCGTACTTGATCTGATACAGAGCTGTGTAACGACTTGGCTGGCTGGCTGAGTTACTAGTTTGCTAGATGGCATGATGCCAACGACCACAGATTGATGACGACACCAGAAGGAAATTTTTCTTTGGATGCAGAGGCAGAGATATGTGCATAGAGCATGAAGGCAAGGTTCGGTGTCTCCGACCCGGTTCTGTGAGTCATGCTTCTTGATCTACATTTTCATTCTTTCTGTGCTCGCTGAGTGTGGGGGTCATCATAACGTATCGTGCGGCGTAGAGGCAAGCTCAGCTGACCTCGATGACCGTCCGCAATTTGCCTGTCTTAGGATCGAGGACGGGCGTTTGGACGGCTCGGCAGAGTCGGCTTGTTTAGAGTATGCTTTCTTTGCATTTTAGAATGAAAGAAGAAAGGAAAAGGAGATGAGGTTCATGATGAGTGGTATGATGAGTGGTGTGTGGATTGCATCAACCACACATGACCTCGTCATAACAGGTCATGATTTGATATGATTCGACATTTGTTGACTATCGTAGCCGTCGCTAAGTGTAGCAGCTCAGCTCGTGAATTTTCAGCCTCTTTTCGTTTTACAATTTGCCAGTTTGGAAGCTGTCACAATTCTGAATGAACGAATCGGAGTATTAGCTCTAGTTGGGGCATGAGATACTCAAAAGAGGTGAAGTGAGACTTCTCCGTCGGCTGAGTGAACACACTTACAATTTAATTACAAGAAATCATATTTTTGAAGATTCCCTAGCTTTGGAGCTCACAGAAGGAAGCTTTTCTGAAACTCCCATTTCCCATATTCTGTCATTTTCCTTTGCGGGGATTGTGTGTATCCCTCCTCATTTTGAGATTATTTGGCTCGGCTTCAAGGCTCGCCTAGAGATATACCTCATTAGTTAATCTTCATGAGTTGATCAGTATGAAAATGGGCTTTTCTACCATGCTATATCAAACAAAAACATACTTTTGACTAAAAGATCCAGATTACATTGCTAGATACCCCAAGCCTGAAATATCTCAATTGTTTCGAGCGATTCCGTAAAGGCACGTTTGAGTTTTCTTCATGGCTTTACATAACAATAATTAAGACTCCACAAGCTCTGAAACGATTATGTTATACTCCAAAACTGCAAGCTACCTCTGCGTTGGGAGCATAGCTCAAAGTATGACATTGATGCGGAGTGGGATAGCTCCAGTAATAATCGTCAAAGCGAAATCGCAGTCCTCAAAAGTGTATCCGAGACTAAACGCCAATGCCTTGAAGGGCAAATTACGGCATCTCTCATCTGCCGCGTTATGGGATTAATAATTCCCCGCCGGACGATCGTGGACGATGAACTTCAGACATAACCCAGTCTTCAGAGTTCAATTAAGGTTTCGAAGAACAAATTGATTCTACAGCTGGCACCGCGCTAACATGGCATTTACTAGTTTCGTTGACGCTTGCTCGCTTGTAGCTAGGACTAGATGAGCAAAAACCAGTCATACTACGCAGTGTTACAAGAATGAAATTTTAGGGCAGTTTCTCGGACATCTAGAATACTAGATCGGCGTTGTGGGATTCAACAGTCACTGATGTTCGACTCTTGAAAAGGTTGATGTCAAAGCAAAAAACCATCTGGGTTTTGGCTGTTTTTACCGTTTTTAGTCTGGAATGCAAACTTTGAGTTCATCTCGGAGATCTTCCTTGTGGTATCCAGAGACCAAGCTATAGCAAAAGTAATAGTAGACCAGACCTTGTCGGCACTTTCAAGCTTATTTTGTCTAGAACGCTTCTGCACAGACGTTGTCCCTTACTAAAGGAAAGTCGGCACGGTAGATAGATCGAGTAGTCACTCATTCATTGGCGCCATAATCCGTACAGTTTGAACCAAGGTGCAAACCGAGTGCATTTTCTCTAGCGGCAACATGCACTGATGTTCTCACGGTCTTCTCTTGCGGTTCGCATCATTTGATCAACATCAGAAAGAGTGCATTATCGCCAGTCTGTGCATTGGCACTGGTGCAAACCCTTGAGCTACCGGTACTTTGATGTTATGATCACATCGATGCGCCCCAATCTGAAAAATAATTGCTTCCTTCAGCATATTGAGAAAATGAAATAGTATAGGTAGGTAGTAAGAACCCTACAACTATTTCCCGCTAGGGGACACCCGACGTAAAGCGAAAACGCTTGAGCTAGAGCCCTCTAAGGTTACCAGACTGCCACATCCATCACCAGATTCACCACAGCAATTACTTCTTTACAAAGCCCCTGCATCAGGTACCACTAGAGTCCCCGCGTCAATTTGCAATCTTGCATAATGCATCCCATCAGCAAGGATGTGCATATAAAACAAAAGGATACAGGAGTCGCAAGCAAAACCTACTCTCGGTCGTTGAGATGAGTACCGGAAACGCCAATTTCCACTATAATAAGCTTTCCCTTTCCTTTCCATTCCTTTCCGATCACGATACGGGTACACTAACTCTAATCTAAACCCCCACCTCACTCCACCCCACAACCTCCACCAAGAGGAAAGTGGGATATTTACCCCCTACCCCTGTTTGTTCATTCTTTTATTCTTTCAGCCTCGCAATCTTCATCCTCTTCACCCCAATCCACGGCTGATGATTTGGATATCTCTAGAGTCTATATCATTAGAGAGATAGAAAATCATCTAATTACACATATTCAGCCGAGAAATCTTCTGGTCGCAGACATTATGAGTCTACATTATTAGATAGATAGAAAATCATCCAATTCCTCATATTCAGCCGAAAAATCTTCTGGTCAGAGATTAGGTTTCAAAAAGCAACTTCTTTTCTTTTCAGTACTCGTATAGTAACTAATAACTAGCCTTACTTTGATCTGTCTAATTCCCAATCCCCAGTTCCTCGTATATACAAATATACAAACATAATATAACATACACATAAACCCCCTCCCTTACCCTAACCTAGTCGCCTATATCATAAAACCAATACTTGTATATACCAAATACATAAACCCGAAAACAAACCTAAAATAAACCGCCAAAGAAGCAAGAAATGCAAACCCGTCCGATATTACCGATATTACACCTTACCACCCACCCATCCATCACAAGAAAAGAAAACCCAAGAAAAAGGGATGGTGTGGTGTGATAGAAATCCGGGAGAGGACTCGGAGTTACTGAGTAGAGTAACTCCGTAGTTTAGTCAACAAGAATATAGCCGCAACATTGGCATTACAACCTTACGACATCTCGTCTATTCCTTCTTTGTATTGCCTCCAAGGAACTCAATTGCATGATCTCATTATCTTAATGCTTGTTGTATCCCCCGCAATCGTGTGGCTCGGATCGCGGTAGAATTCATACTTTTTTCATGCTATATAGCAGATAGTCATATATCCAGGAGGTACTAATTTAATATAAGGTTTAATATAAGGAATTCGAGTAGATCCATCAAAAGCAATTCTCATAAACCGGAACTCGGATATTGGAAATAATTTCCCCAGAAATATGTGGCCAATGCATATGGAGTTACACATGGGAAAAGCGGAGTGTTATGAAAATTGATGTTTGAATAAAGATACTAGTCCGAGATTTGAACGAAGCCTATCGTACTAGGGAAACTTTCCTCGCTCCTCGCCCCTGATGGCAATAAATTCCATGTCGCTTGGTCGCCAAATATACCCCTTGATTCCTTACTTTTGCATATACCGTGAGATCCAGCTCTTTCCTTGTTTCCCCCCGTCCGTTAATAATGCTGAAGAACCAAAATGAAACAACCAAAGAAAACTCCTCCGATGATAGATATATATCATTAACATCCAAATGAACTCATTCCA